CGGCCGACTCGAAAGACTTCGTGCGTTACGACGATGTATATGTACTACGAGCACTCTCGTAGGCTCGCGCCGGATGGACCAAGTTTAGGATGGGCTCCTCCCTGCATGGGAAAGTGAAAAGGCACTTACACCATGTTTCCTACAAGGGAACGATCCTCCGCGCGAAAGCCTTCCGCGAAAATCTATGACATTTCCTCCCGAGATGTAACTCACAGTCGCCTCAGCAACAGGAACCTTATGAAAGTCAAAGCGCGCTTCGTGTTTGCGCGATCGTCTACGGTTCGCAACTTGTTGCTGAATTGGCTTGGCTGTCAAAGATACATAAAATCGTCTCTACGTGGGTATCACCGAGTTGAATATTCACTCGAGATTTCATGAAGGATGCGGTTAAATATAATTGGTAGAATTTTAACGAACAAACGTTCCCGTCGTGACCCGCGATATCTTTGAGATTACAGTTTGTGCTGCGGTATTTTCTTCTGATGGAAATCTCATGAAATTCAACGAGCGCTGCGATCAAACCGCATGCAAATTTACGAGGAAATCAAGCGCGAGATTTCTTTTTTTCCGAAGCACAAAGTTGACTCGCGTTAGAAATATATTTACGGCGCACCGTGTCTTTATAAAATCATGGTCGGTTGTCGTCGACGTTGGTTGTACGACGTGATTATTTCCTACCGCAGGATGCTCGTGATTGTTGTCATCCGCGTAGGCTGCTTATGACTCATACTACTTCAGCTTATTCCGCGTTATGATTATAGTTCTGAAAGAGCGACAGCGCGCTTTGTGATTCGTTAACGACGTGAATAAATCGCGCGGCAACCATCGCTTCTTTCACCTTTCATGTGAATTTCTTTTCAATTTACGACAATGGGCGATTTCATAAAAATATATTATCCGTAAGACATTAATATTTAGTTATGCAGAAACGATCTGCAAAATCATGTACATGAACAATGTACGATTAATTTATATTCTCTCATAACGTCCTTCGAAATATTTTAATGACGGCGTAATAAAAAACCATCGCAATATCTTCTTTAAATCCGACTTATTTCCATGCTTCTTACAATAATCATAATTACTTATGAGAAAAATATAATTACTTACTTTTGAAATTTTGCTTTTAACTTCTCATTTAAACTATCTAATTAATAAAAATTTCTTAAGAAGGAATACAAAAAAATAGAAGCATATTTAAAATAACGCTACGTTTTCTGTGAAGCTTTCTGCCTCGATGTTTAATAAAACTTGAACATGTCGAGAGAAAAGGCACCAGATCACTTGACCTGATTTGAGAGGACTTCATATAAACTGATGAGAAACGTGACATTGCTTAGATTCTAACTGGAATTTTCAATGATAGTTCATCAGAAGCAGCGACACTCGGCAGTAGTGACAACTTAACTAGGTCAAACGTTAAAGTATTTAGTGATCTCGTGCATCAAAGGAATTATCATGACAAAGATCAATTTTATACAATGTGCAATGAGAATACCGACAAGTTATGATTCCACAAAGCGTAAATCTGTTCAAATTAATTATTAAATATTTATGGTTTCATCTTCAAAATAGAATTCGTTATGCATTGTGCACATGTATCACTTTAATTATTACAATAGTAAACTCAGATATTAATTGGCAATTAAATATTGTATATCAATGTCAGCTAATTGTCAACTAAATGTCAACGAACCATGATTAATTAAATCTTTTTTGTTTGTTTCATTTCAAAAATCAGTACTGTCATTTGGATATAATATAGATCAAAATTTTACATTATTTATTGATGTGAAATTGAAATTTGGCATTCCATTTTCGCAAAGTATAATTTTCAGCTCTCATCATCTAGAAAACGCGTCTGTAAATCTCACGTATTACGCCAGAATCGTATAGTAGTGTTGCAAATTGCATTAGCTCGGGCTATTCAAGTACCCGTATCAGTATATCTCTCATATCTTACTTAATGTAAATTATGACTTCCGTGCCAGATCTATTGAGACGTCTCGCACTTCCACACTAGCGCATGGAATTTGTTACCATCAATTTTTGTATTAGAGAAGTAGCCGCGCACTTGAATAATCCCTCTGATTGCCCTTAACGTCTGCATCTTGACACGTCAAAAGGAAATTTAATTTCACGCCTCACGGTAACCCTGAATTCACCTATATCAACAGCTTGACTCCTCGACGCGTTACAAACGGGCAGTCCTTTAGTAGCTTCCGGGAAACTCTGAGATTGCGAATACTTGCCAACAATAAGAATATAACATATTATGCTCGTCGAGTATGTCCGCGGTATTACAATGGCTCTCGTAATCGACCAGCGACGAAGCATACATAAACAAATGTAATGCGATATACGAGACCGCATTCCTGGGTGCGATATACCACACACACACGTGATAACGGTCGCCGATGGATCTACATAAGCGCGGGGATTGAATGAGCTGGCGAATGCTTGAACGAGACGCTCAATATAATTTACGTAACGCTAAAACGGTACACCAACATCACAAGGGGATTGTGTAACTTACGTTATACATACTTTCGCGCGGCATTTATCGAGCGAGGCTAAAAGGAAATTTAATTTCACGCCTCACGGTAACCCTGAATTCACCTATATCAACAGCTTGACTCCTCGACGCGTTACAAACGGGCAGTCCTTTAGTAGCTTCCGGGAAACTCTGAGATTGCGAATACTTGCCAACAATAAGAATATAACATATTATGCTCGTCGAGTATGTCCGCGGTATTACAATGGCTCTCGTAATCGACCAGCGACGAAGCATACATAAACAAATGTAATGCGATATACGAGACCGCATTCCTGGGTGCGATATACCACACACACACGTGATAACGGTCGCCGATGGATCTACATAAGCGCGGGGATTGAATGAGCTGGCGAATGCTTGAACGAGACGCTCAATATAATTTACGTAACGCTAAAACGGTACACCAACATCACAAGGGGATTGTGTAACTTACGTTATACATACTTTCGCGCGGCATTTATCGAGCGAGGCATTACCTAATTCCCATTAGCGTAACTCTTATTTCTAATCTGGTTGATTTACTGTGCATTATACTGATTGACACAAATAATGAGAGAAACCACGTGCGCCTCATTCTTCGAGCGTCCAATGTAACACCGTGGCCAGCGATAAATGACGTTTAAAATTCACGTATGTCGATAAAGTACTTAGGGTATATAGGACGATGAACGGAAGTTACCAATGATATTTAAATATCTAAGTTCGCGCTCTATAGCTTTCTCCTGATTATATATATACTTTAATCTTACTCAATATAATATAATATTCCTATACAATACACAAAGATATATCTAATAGATAGATAGATCGTTAATATCACTATTATTTGCTACATGATAATGTCTCTTGTATAAAAATAAATTGTTATAAATAATTTCATAAAATACAAAAACAACATGACGTAAATCAGGATATATTTCGCGTTCACATCTTTTTTCCATAAATAATATACTTATGGTATATGCACAGTTTATCTTGAAATTTAATCTCGGTGCACACGCAATTGTAGAGAATTAATGTCGATTTGTTGCGATATGCTTCGCAATGCAAAATACATATATTCAAATATATGAGCGTCTCTCTGAAAGTGGCTCTTTCTAGTAGCACGCTCGGAGAACAACATTGATGCAGAAATTAATGCCGCTTTGTCACGGAACGATCGAGTCGTTGACGACAGCCGACGACGAGTCGATCTCACTCACGAGACGAGGTCTGGCGCCGCGAGTGGCACCCGCGGATATATCCTCGACTCTCCTCCCAGTTCGGAATTACTCTCGTTATACCCGTGCGTTATACCGTGATGGAAATTGTTGGAGAACTTTGCACGCTGTCGGACGGGGACTTGAAATTCAGTTGTGTTAATTCCTACGAATTTTCGAGCACCCCTCCGGGCCGGGGATCGGGGCGCGCTTAGTGCGTTTTCGCGATTAGTGCGTACACGCCAGCGCGACAAATACTCATCCTCTTCCCGCGTGTACGTTTACGCGGTCGGCCCGCGCGCGGAGGTCGTGCTCTCATTGCACGCGCGTGTGAGTGAACACGGCTCTTTGCGAATCCATTAGCCGAATCCTTGCTCGGTCGTTTCCCTTCGGGCAGACCAATGATTTAGAGAGAGGGAGAGAGAGAGAAAGACACGAATATTCCGATTGCGAAGTGCTCGACCGACCAGCGCGCGATTAGCCTCCTTGAAATTCAGATCCGTATTCGTGGAAAATATTGTTGCGCCGCAATAATTCTGATTCCGGACGTTGATTCTAATTCAACTTTGGCAGTTATGTGTCGAAATATAGGTCGTGGACAATAAATTTAACGATATCTTACGATTATGTCCACCTGCGCGCGACTTTAACGACCCGCTGTTGTATTAATTACAAATGATATTCGATATAAGATACTGTTACAGTTACTCTTTACGTAGAAACTACATTTTTATTCAACATTATAAAGATATTATTGAAATTTATCATATATGAGAAATTATTCGGTTTTAATTAATAATCGAATAACCTTTTTATCAAAGGATTTATATTTTTTTCTTTTTACTTTATAATCTCTTCTTTGTAATGGGCATATATATATATCACGAAAAATAATATTCTCTGTATCGATAGATAAAAGAGAAGCGGAATAAAAAAATATTATTGATATAGGTTGGCGTTGAAAATTAATAGCGAAAACGGGTGAAATGAAATTGACAGCAATTGAAGTAAGCCAACCGCAGTGTGGTTATGACCGCAGTAAAGTTTTAGTGCGTCAGTAAAACTTTTATTTACGCATGCCCTTTTGCCGTTTTATCGCTGTAAGAATATTTTGCTAATTGGAACTATTTTATCCGAGTGATCTTGTCGCTTTATCGTTATTGTAGTAAAATTGCAATTCCACTTTTATATCACGCGAGAGAAATATGGAAAGCGTTCACGTTGGTAAGTCAAAACCCATTTTCCTTCCTCTTCTCTGCTCGAAGTACTATTGTTCTAGCATACACGTTACACTTACCTGAAACAAAAATAAAACAAGATTAATATTAGAGAGATTACATAAAATGTTTCTTTATATTGTAAGGTCATTGTTTAAGATATATGTATATGTATTTTATATATTTATTATACTAGAGTTTATCGTACGCTTCGATTGCAAACCGTCCGCTAAATGTGTGCAAAATAATAGTTGCAGTTTTTGCAACCGACGATCGGTTTTCGATATATACGACTTTCGTAATTAAAAAGTTAATTTATCAATTTTTCGATGCGACTTACGAGAGTATTATTGTGAATTAATATATTACAGGAAATCGTGCCATCATCGGAAAGTCATAATTGACAAAAATAATTTAAATTTATCGTTTATTATTGCAAGTCGAGCCCGTTCACAATAGAATTATACAAACGTTGGCTATTCATAGTATATTTGATCGGACTAATTATATTTGTGAACTCGAAAGTAACTTTGTTGGTTAGCTGGAATCTGAATGCGGTGAAACGCGTCGAACTAACTTGCATGTTACATATTGATTGCCCGACTAGTATACGTGTATGAGTTTCCTGCAAACTTATTCGACGCCAAATAGTATTCAACAGGTTTTCGTGTATCGCGTGTAAACGTTAGTTTGTTCATATTTCGCAAACTGTTGATATCAATGTGAATGTTGCGTCTCGATGTTGGCTTTATTAAAACAGAACTAACGAGGGACGTTCGAATATTTGCATATTCATTGTGTTCCTCATGTAACAGCATTTCAACTTGCGTTACTTACATCGACGTTATTTTTTGCATTCCATCATTCGTTAATTATTGAATTGTCTCATTATAACTTTAGAAAATTCGTGGGATTGTGAAATATTTATTTTAGCAGTAATATGATCAAATTTTACTGGAAATAAAATTCGATCAAGTTTATCAGACTCCTATTTATACTTTGCGCCAATAAACAAACTAATTGCATCATTCATTTTAGAAGTGTTTATTTAAAAAATGTTCAAAAATATTTTTCTGTTTTACTTATATTTTTAAAAATAATCATATAATCGATTGTAGATTAATTATTTCAGTCATTGATATAAATGTAGTAATATAATGAAATGATAGAAAAATATCTTTATGCAGTTATATTAATACCATCAAATGTTTTTCATAGTAAAATAAACATTTAAAATAAACATTTTAAATTAAATACTGTCTTTCCGAAAATGACTGATGCAATTGCTGTTTGCATAGAATTTTCATCATATCGAGTGTTGATGAACAGAATAAATTTATATTTTTATTGCAGATATTTTAAGCTAATCGAAAATTTTATTATCTAAAAAGTTTGAATCAATTCAATAAATACAATAGTTTTATTTTCTCCTTTGATCTTGCTATTTGAATTACCCCAACTTGCTCGGGAAACCGCAATATTTAAAGACAACTGTTGGAATCTAGAAGATATCGTCGCATATGATGAATGATGAATAAATACCGCATAAATCACATAGTCACTCGAAAGACGTCGACAGCGCTGAAATAATCGTTATCGGCTACCGACAGCGTGGAACGCCTGACAATGAGACGTTGTCTCCGATCTGATTGGTGCTGGCACAGAGAAACGATGCACATGCGGCTATCGCGATATATCAGCCTGTTTACCGAGCGGTTAACGAGTATAGCTCGGCCCGTGCGCCGTGAACGCATTATCCGGTGAATGAGGCACCAATCTCACCCCCGGATCTCGAAGCGCAAGCAGGCAGCGAGCGAACAGTCGTTGAGCATACAGCACTTTCCAAGGCCCACGCGAAGGAAACTTATCGTTCCGGCCTGGTCCGGCCACGGGTAGACTCGCTGCAAGTGCGAGAGACATTTGCATTTCATGAACACGAAGTGTCCAGTCCTCCTGGGACTAAAAAATATAAAATATTCGTCTAACCGAGTTCGAGAACTGAGTGATTTATGCAACGCAAATTATCTTAGATTTGATATATTTTGTTAATTATTGACTACAATTCTTGTTTTATTTGTTGATACGAAAATTAACATATTTGAAAACGTTTGCATTTTCTCGTCTATGTGTTAATTCGGAGATTATGAGCACGTTTTCACAGTATTCGGGAGTTTTACCTGCTTCATTAATGAGAAATTAAACATCTTTGATCTTATCAATTGCGCTGAGAGAAAAAGAAAGAGAGAGAGCGATTTTTCGCGCGATGATGCGCGGAGATTATTTTATAATATGCAATTGCGCTTTTACAAGCATAAAAGTGATAAGAATAACAGATTTTACGAAAAAATAATCTTCGTCGCAGATCTGTAAAATCCGGGCAATGCAATTTTCAAAACTTTCATGGCCAGTACGAAATTAAAGCGTTATACGACAAGCGCAACCTGAACTATTTTACAATTCACGTTGAACGAGATAAAAATGTCCTCTTTAGGCTCGTTAAAAAAGTCTTAACGCATGTAATCGCGTGAGTAAGCTAAAAAATTAATCTATTTCAACGTATGTAACTCTGGAGAAAATTCCGACGCACTGTAGTCGTTCGATATAGCAGAGGATTAAGTCATGTCCACGAGATTAATATAATTTATATTTGCATATATGCGCATATATACGCGTATCTAAAACATACCTTCGCTCGGTTCTGAAACGAGTATGTACCACATAAATATCGCGACGATTTCGCGATTCAACATGCGCTGCTCTCGTAGAATTTTGTACGTGGTTCATATAGCTCGACTCGCGCATTTAGATTATGTCGTTTATGAAGATCGTCCGACAAAATTCCATTCATAGGTGATACATCATCACTCGGCCAAGAGCCAGACCACGGGAGATCAGATCACGGGTAACGACACTTTCCTGCGATTGTTTGGCAAAGTTCCGTGCGGGCGATTACTGGATCATTTCGAGAGACAGAGAGAGAAGGACAGAGAAAAAGGGAGAAAGAGGGAGAGCACGTTCCTCGTCTCGATATATCGGTGCGACTATTTAGCGCCGCTAACGAGTGCGAGGCCGGACCAATCTACACGTATAGCTCGTTCTCCCATGAATGGAGCTTGCAATCTCGCTTGTGGATCTCCCAGCGCGGCCGCCGGGACCGGTGAAGTGAACAGTTGGCCAACGTCGGAGAGCCTGCTCCACTCGCGGCGATGCGAGCTACCGTTTGAGATTAGCATCTTTTATGCATATACATGGGAGATCTGCAGGCGGCCTGCACGTAGATATAGGCGCGCTACCCAATTCCGCCTCATGCAACGAAGAAGAAAGTATATGTACGTACATCTGTATGTATGCGCGCGTGAATGCACACAATCGCGACTAACGTTCGCGGAGGGCCAGAAGCGCGATCTCTTTCTATTTCTCAGTATTCAGCTCTCTGCCACGACCTCGCTTACGCCTGTCGAGTCCCTCTCTCGCGCCGACATCATCGTACCATGGTCAGGGGAATCTCGGTCTTTATGTGCCATGCCGGTCCATGCCTTTGGCAAGTGGCCTCCGATCTTATCTCGCGACTCGTCTCCTTCGAAGTGGAGTCCCCTCGATTTAAGCCCAGCTGCGTCTACGATCGTGCTCTCTCGTGGCACTGCCACAGTGGAGGACGCACGCGGGACGCCTTCCAAGGGTGACGGGATAATTACACGGGTTTCACCCCGGGGGATGACTTGTCGTCGCGCTCGCTAGCGAAAGGAATCGTCGAAAAGCCATCTAGCGTCGCCGCAGCGTGCGCCTCGATCGCATTCCGCGATTAATTATTAAACGATTAGTCGCTAACTAGAAGGGCGGAATCTCGACGCCGATGAAGCTCCATGAAATATGTAAATCTGAGAACATCAAGTATTCATTACGTTTAGGCACGCGGTAAATTTGAATAATGAGCAACGTCAAATTTTTTTCAAAGATTAAAGAGCTAAATGTTCTCCACGATGTAGATTCTATTATGCCGTGCGAAATTCATGGATTCGTAGAAACGTACGAGAAATTGAATAATTTTGATGATACAATCTGCATTATACGATGAAATTGAAAGCCATAATTTGACTTTCATACCGTCATTCATTCGCAGTCGCGAAAGCGATTGTATATCGCCTGCAACCTGCAATAAGGCTTAAAAGCGTTCCTTGTTAAAATGCAATTATTCCGACGCGTATCCAGCATTGTTAGAGCCAGCGTTGCGTGCGAGCGAGATTCTCACCCGCTGCGAAAATGATTTGTGGGCCTGTACCTATGATAAATTCCGTACACACTATCGATAAAGGATCGCGTGGGCGATCGAAGGCGCTTTCCAGACACTTTGGGTGCTAAAGTAATTGTGCAGAACATCGAGGAAATGTTGTCGTTAAGCGTAGGAGGCTGTCGAAGGAGACGGTAGCAATTGGCTTTCTGGATCATTGCCCCATTCATGGATTCGTGCTCGATTGAGCACCGAGCTTCTCGTGCAATCGTTTTCACTTTCGAGATTTAATCTCAAAAAAGCCGAGATATCGAATAAACTGCAATTAAGGTGAAACTGCGCGCGTTATATGGTCCGGGAGGATTTTCGCCGATCCCGGTCGATTTAGTTTACTGAAGGGAGAATATCGCGCCATATTGTCTGTATAAAACTCGATAAGGTTCTTTGGACCGCATATTTTAGCATAAAGAAAATAATTGAATTTAAAGTGACAATCATCCAAGAGATCGTATAAGTTGTCCCGATTTGGCGCTGTTTATGTGTCTATAAAGTATCGTCGGTAATGATAGGCGTGCATCGAGGTTTCTTTGTTTGCCATATGATATTAGCAATACATCCGTGTCTTTATGCGGCACGTGAGGGCGCTCATATAAAAAAGCATTCATGCACAAACCGCGATTATCTCGCTCGAAGTGCGTCCTGTACGAATGGCATTGTCGAGACTGAAATTTATTCGGAATTTCGATGTTAGTCATACATAAGATGATGAATTGGACGGGATTTGAGTCTTGCCTTTGCGACTACGCAACACTGACAGCGGTAAATTATAATATTTATTCCGACTAGTTTGAT